AAAAGAATAGTCAGAGGCTATCATACGAGCCCCCAACTGCCCTCATGTGCCTGAGTATTTGAGGACCGTCCTCACTACCGACAAACTGGCTGGCTATTGGGGAATTCGACCCGTGATCTTAGGGGAGGGGAAGGGAAGGTTTATTGGAAGTCTCGATCGGAAATACGACAAGGTGAGGTTGGCATAAGACGAAGAAATTTGTTCTCAAATAAAAAAAAATTGCAAGGCCCAATTGCGTGATTCACGGGATCCAAAGAGGAATGTGACAGTGCGATTCCGGTAGGGGAGAGCAGGAAAGTTTCAGATTTTACATTACGAGTTGAGTTCACTTGATGGAATATAAAAGAGAGTCATCCGCGGTTCGTTTAGGGCAGACGAATGATAAAAAAAATAGAAAAGGAAGAGTCTCTGGAGTAGTGATGTAAAAATAGCTCGTTGTTCAAAAATAACTCGTGTTTGATTCGTTAATTAGTTTGTGTTCGATTTGCTCACTAAGTAAACGAGCCGAACACAAACTTGTTTTTGCGTTCGAGACATAAACGATTCGAACACTAACAAAGATTTATTTTTCTATGTCCGGCTCATTTTGACTCAAAATAATTAAATTATCTATTAAAGTAATAAGCATTATTTTTAAATATTTTAATTGACTACAAGGTTATAAAAATTTGTAATCAATAAAATCTATTAGTCAAAAAATAGATTAAAAATATATTAAATTTTATTTAAATGAATATTTTAATATAACTAATAAGATTTAAATCTCATATCTACCCTCAGCATCTTATGGTTGTGTGACGAGAGTTGCCAAGATGACTCGTTGTTCGTGAATAATTAATGTTTGACTCTCTAAGAAAATGAGTCAAACATGAACAAATTTTTTGCATTTAATATATAAATGAACTGAATATGAATAGTTGTATTTTTTAAGAGTCAAGTATGACTCGCTCAAGTTCAACTTGTTTACACCCTTAATTACAAGAAGAGCGTGAAAAGAAAATGCAAGATGGACTGAGTTTGGCGTGCCGAGCACTGATGTGACAAGGATATCACAAATCTTGAGAGTTTCAAAAACCAAGCATACCTATTTATTAGCATTGAATGGAGTGACCTTAACCGAAAGATGAGTGGGGCAAGCCGATGTAGGCGTCATGATAATTTTGATAGAATTCAACTATTTTAGATGATAAATTTTAGATAGATAAATATGATAGTTTTCTCCCGTATGTATTTAAATTCTTCTATTATTTTTGATATGATATTAAAATTTTGAGTGTTTAAATAAGTTAAAGAACAATTAATTAATTATTAATTTTGAATAATCGAATTGATTAATAATTAAAAACTAAATATTAAAACACTTACAAAAATAAATACCATGTTAGGCCGAACATATTTCATATATTTTCATCTAATATCATTATTTAAATCTTATATAACAGTTTTTGAAATTAGCCGGTTTTAATATAAATCATGGTAAATAAATTTTAAATTTATTTATTCCAGAACTTTCTAAATTCAAATTTAGAGGATTTATTAAATCTTATTTGAGAATCCTAGTTGCCACCGTTGAAAGCTGCTAGGCGTGAATGGGGAGAGCGGGGGAGAGGCTTCGATCTATAAATAAGGCAAAACCTGGTTTGTCTGGTATCTCGCTCACAAGTCACAATGCTGAAGTGGAGTAAAAGAAGGGCTCATCAATTCTTCTACTTGGCTCTCTTCTCACTATTCGTTCTCTTCTCTCTTCTTCACAATCAAAGCGCCAGTAGGCTCCATGGTGGAATGCAGAAGGAAGACTCTGCTACACGCTCTTCGTTTCCTACCTATCTGACCACCAACTCATCTATCCATAAATCATCGAGGGTTTTAGGTTTGTTTCACCGAAACCACTAATTAATGTCTCGGAAACTCTGATTTGTTCTCTTTGCTTTCTGATGGCATTAATAAACATGCTAAAAATGGTTGTGAGATAAGTATCTGTTGGTTATAGCTGTCAAATGAATTTTCCTGGTTTTGGCTTGGACTCTGGTTTCGTGTAGTTTAGGTTGTTTTGGATGAGATTATAGTCATAATTTGTTGGGGGTCTGGTTTCAGGTGATTCGGAGTGGGCTAAGGCATGCGGTTCTTCTCGGAGTTATAAGAGAAAGCTAAGACGCTCGACGAGATACCAACAGCCAAGGAGGAACCGACAGGAAAAATGTGATATTTTTGCTGGCAGATGGGTTTACGACACTGTCTCCTATCCATTGTACGATGAGGGTGGTTGTCCATATATGTCTGATCAATTAGCTTGCACAAAGCACGGTCGGCCAGATGTGGAATACCAGAGAATGCGATGGCAGCCCCATGGATGCAACTTGAAGAGGTTTGGTAAATTTTACTTGTCTTAAATATGCATTTTGTTGAATCTGGTTTTGCTTGTGGAATCA